GTGTCGTTTTCAMAATCTGCAGATGCATGGGGTGTATCTTCAGTGAAGACTAATAAAAAGAGAACCAGGCCAAATGTTCTTGTATATAATTTGCCTTATTCTGAATGGCTTTTCAACTTCCCCAATTTTTGTAGTGGATTGAATAGCATGTGTATTTTAAGAGAAAGAAGAGCAAGTGAATTTGAATATATACAACTGCATGATAGCACATTGAGGTGGAAGAAAGAGGTATTTTTCCCCTCAAAAGGAGCTTTTCTTATTCCTTCAGTAATTGGACCAATCCTCTACTATACAGAAAAGTTTGAGGATGGGTTTGTTTGTTTRTTTTAGTTGGCATCCAAAGGAAAATATAGTGAAATATCTAGATAAAAGTAGCTGTGGTGGCTAGAAAAAAGATGCAAACTTTTTTTCCTGAAATACCTGTTTTCGTTAGAAGGACTTCTGGGTTTATTGTGGCTGTATCTTCCTGGGGAGTTTATAATAGTCCCTATTACAACTGGCATAGTTTTGCCAGTGTCTTTATTGTCTGGGGTGGGAGCAATGCTGTATATAATCTAGAGACTGGCAAAGCTGAAATAAAGCAGTCATTCTGATTCCTGAGACAAAAGGTCATTTGCTTTGTGGGATGGCAGTACAGGACCGAAGTATGTGTCCTTAGAGTAACCACTCTGCAATGTGACTCTTTTACAAATTTATCTCTAAAATGTCCCTTTGGTATCTACAGCATATAAGAGAAAAACATGTCAGATTCCAAGATAGAAACCCACCAGTCTCCTAATAAGCAAACTCTAGAAATATTTTGGAGGGATTGTTGATTGCTTTTTTTTCTTTTTTTCTTTTTTTTAAAGAAAATACTTTTGGGAAAAGTGGTGGGGATGAAATTCCACTCACAAAAGAGCCTGTCACTCACAAAATGCTATCACTATGAATTCCATGAAAATGGCATTGTCTTAGTGGTTCTGACAGAAGTTCAAATCTTGTGTTTGCAATCTATCTGTAGATAGATACAGACATTGTTTTTCAATGTCCATTTTTATTCAGAAAATTCCTATGTTGTGAAGCAAATGAAAGCAGAGTTGACTGGCAAAAGTTAATAAACGGTCAATGTGTTCCTGCATGTTGTGCACCTTTCGTTGCTATTCGTGAAATAATGAGGCATTTAAAGTATATCTGGGCACCACAGTATAATTCAAATCGTAACAACATGTTCCTCTGATCATCAGCTAATCGTTTTATAACCCAGCCTTGGACTAGAAATTAAACAGAAGACCGTAATTAATTGATCTTTGCAGGACTGAATGACATTAAACTGAGTTTATTTTAATAATCTATTCTACCTGCCCAAATAAAAGTCTTGGTGCTCTGACACACCTCCTGAAAAAAAAAACAGGGGATAAGCTCCATGTAAGCAATATCTTTCCTCTTATAAGTTATTGATGTAATTATTTTTGTTTATAGAATGAGAGGTGTAGCTGAGCAAGATGCATCTTAAAAATATACAGTCATGATTATTGCTGCACATCTCTATAAGAATAGGAAAAAAAAAAAGAGAAGAAATTTGTGCTGTAGGAAATAAGTTAAATTTTAAGGAAGGAGAGAGTATAAGCAGAACTGGTAGAATGTCTCAGGTCCAAAAAGTAAAATCTGCTCTTGGCTGAAATACACCTGCTAACATGAAAGAGTCTTGTTAATGGAAGACTGGTGAGTGAGAATTGTAACCTGCAGTCTCTTTTGAACTCTTTGCCATGCTTCAACTCCTAAAGACCTATGCATTGTGATTTCTTGGGGATAAAACAAGTTTTGTAGTTCATTTAAAGTGCTTTTAATTTGAGTAGGTGGGTCACCACAAAGTCATGTGGTCAATTTGTACCTGTACTTTTCAGCACTTCCAGCTCTTCTTGGTCCCACATGGTGATCAACCCAAAGTTAACCTAAAGTCTCACCTAAAAATGCTGCAACAATCTCATTCACCATAACTCAGAAATCATTTTATGAATAGGAACAAATTTGGAGGCAGTAAATTACGCTACTTGAACTCAGAATTGCATATATTACTCAAACTGACACTCGTGAGTACAAAATGGGCACATGCATTTGTGCAAGTGAGATGCAATAAGGCACTGGAAAGACGTAAATAGGATATGATCTGTTTTTAGCATGCATTCTATCAGAAACTACTTTATTGGCTCTGCTTCTTTCAATAATTTTCAACATAGGTAGGTCAAATTCAGTAGCAGTGCTTCATTTGTTTGCCGGTAAATGATCCTATGATAAATCTTAGGGACTCCCCTGAAAGAAAGTTAAAAATTATACGAAGAATTCTTTCTAAATGTATTTAGATGAATTTCCGAATTCAAAGTCATTTGTGTTCCTGTCAATACAGATCACTGCAGACAATTTTACTGCAGAATGCATTACCCTGAAACAAACTGTGTCTTATTTGCTAGGTGATACCAGAATGGTCCTGACTCTGCTTGGCTGCAACTAGATGGTGATGGTGTGATGACGGACACGAACACAGAGATAGAAGAGAGAAGCACGTAAGTCATCCTGAGTGTAATAAATGCTTGAGGATTTGACAATAACAATATGAGAGTCAACAGGGAAGCTTGGCACGGTGAAGTGCAGTGAATCAGGATGATCAAATGATTTTATTAGTTTGCTTTTATTAGTCAGATCTATTTCCATTTTTTTTATTATGACCTAGGAAAAAAGAAATAATTGTAATCAGTTTATCAAATACAACCCTGGCAGAGAATCTGCCACTGGTAACTTGATTTTGTTCTAACTGAGCACGCTATGTTTTGACTAATCTCTAGCATCCAAGATCATTTTTCTTGAACTGGCGGGAGGATGAGTCAGAGTAATAGTTTATTTGTTTTGGTGTTTTATTTAAAAAGTTAGATTTCTAGGTGTGGTTCAGAGATGTTTTCAGTGTTTCTTTTAAAACCATGGGATAATAAAAAAAAAAAAAAAAAGAGGAAAAAAAATCCCCTAATTTCTCTTCCATCCACAGATTGAAAATGGACCACAGGCGGTTGTAGCTAAAGCTTTGCCAGTGCTCCTGCCCTATCCACCTGTCACATGAACTTCACCTAAACTAATCACAGACTCAGTGGGAGAGAAGGGATTCTGTAATGATGATAACTAATTCCCAAGTCTCCCCTAAGCAATGATGAACAATCATTATAAACTGTTCCAAATTATAGACTGTAGGCTCTGTGATGGTGACTTTTGTAGACTGGACTGAGACAATTACCAAATGAAGGAAAATATTATTATTTTAGCAAATGTAACATTTTAATACAATGTGAAAAATGATGAGGGAATAATAAATCGAGGGCATAAAAAGAGCTAATAATAAAAAGGAGCTTGGTGAGAAATCCCGCTGTCATATTTGCATTTACCCTGAAACTAATGCCGTGCACATTTTTGAATGCAAATAATTCACAAGAGGAAGCAAAATGAGGATGTTAATAATCATTTTTCCCTTAATGAGAAGCTGCACTTTGATTGAAAGGAGCTTTAAGGTGGCCTAAACTAGGCCTAACAAAGGAGCATTTTTTGGAGACTATTTAAAGGAATGTGTTAGAATAATATTCTGTCACTTAAAATCCCTAGCATTAACATTGTTATCACAAATCTTATTTCAAATTAAAAAAAGAAAAAAAAAAAAAAAGAAAGAAAGAAAGGCTTTTTAGGAAAGTTATTCTTTCCAGATGGGATTTTCTTTTTCTCTGTGACTATTAACTTAAAATGTTTTTTCTTGTGGGATCAGCTAAAGTCTTTAAGTTTTTTGTATTAGTTTGTTGAATCAGTTCCTTATCTTCTGCATGAATGCTATAGGGTGCCTTCCTCATTTTAGGTCTCTCAGCTCCAGATTGCTAAAATGACAACTGGCCCCCTTCATTGACTGGAGCATCTATCCTCTTACCACCACTTAGACACATTTAAGGGYGTACTAAAAATTTCTTTATGATTTAAAGCTAGGTTTTAATCAGGTTTGAAAATGCCCTTTCTGCCCCTGGAAACACAGTTCCAAACATAGAAATATGGAAATAATTCTGGCCTAGACTTGGGATCCTTCTGTTCCAGTAATATGTTACCAAAGTTAGCCAGTACCTCCGTAATATTAACCTTTTATCCACTCAAGGCAAATCCTAAATGCATATAATCCAATAAAAGGAGTTGCAATAAAATTAATTTGTCCACCTAAAGACTAATCTTATCACTCTTAYCACTAAAGAGGTATAAATATATGTATGTACCTTCCYACTTTTCCGTGGGTTATCCTGCATATACAGAGGGCTAACCAAATATTGTTCATTGTGAACAACTCCTCTGGTTTATCCTGGAAGACATTGGTCATGCTTTCCGACGAATTTAAATAAAACTTGGTTTGATTTTTTTTTTAAATTTGTTTTCACTAAAACTTTGAGCACAAACAGCCCATGGGTTGTATGTGCTTAACAGCGTGTCATGTGGGACTGATCACTGAAGTCTGTCACGTGGTGATCCTTGATTGTAACTGTATTAAAAAGGCAAATGAAAAATGATTATGATGTAGCAAATAAGAAACATGCTAATGGTCTTCTGCTCATTTATCAAACGTATATATTTTAGAATAGAAAATTCTTTGCATAATTCTGTAAACCAATTCATTGGAATGCATATATGGAATCTAAAAGGACAAATACAGTTAAATTGAACTGTGGTTCACAAAGTCAAAATAAGTGTCCACTAATCATTGTTTCTGCAATGACTATTTAGCTTAGTGGGTACTCTCAGGGCATATTGAATATATTTCCTGTAGTTAGGATACACTATCTTTCTTCTGTTGCCCTTAATTAGTCTGATTTGATGCTCCCCATTACTCATCAAGTGGTAGTGGCAAGGTAGGATAGATGTGGTTTTAGAAGTAAACGCTGATTTAGCAATTTTCCTTGGCATTTAATAAGAGAATTATTTTCTTTAGGAACTGAGCTGGGTAATCTTCTTTGCCTCAGCAAGACTGAAACTAAGCACGAACAAGGTTCAGTAAGTAAGTTTAATTTTATTCTGTATGCTAAGTTTACACACTCAAGTAATTTTCTGTTCCATGTTTATAGCTTTTTAAGACATTACTCTATGGYACCTCCAAGCTTGTCTTGGTTAATTCTCCCAAAGAATGCATGTAAATAATTTGATGATAATAATGACTAAAGATTTTAACATATTTTTAATTAAAGAAACATTTCTTCAGTTCTTTCCCCCAAGGTTTTTCAGGCTTCTTGTTAATGTTGCAGCATGATTATACCTTCAGGTTGATCAACCAAAAATTGTCATCTCTAATGGTGCAATGCTACCATTTTTCTCATGTTGTGTAGCATTAACTCCCCAAGTAATCAAATTCGGATGCACTCAGTTGGATTACTCAATTAAATCTTAACCAACATTGGGGATGGTGGAGTATCAATCTCAGGAATAGCTTCCCAATCATCTGAGCAAGTAGTTATTTAGGATCTGATTCTATAATAGCTAATCTGTCTTGAACTACATATGTTAGGTTTATTCATGGGATTGTTTGTGTGCATAAAAAGACATGCATAAATCTTTGCTTGATGAAGGTCTACACAGTCTAACTAATGAAATGAAGTGATTTGTGCTTTCTTAGGGTTATGGGTATTCGTTTCTCTTAACAAGTATGTGTGATTTTTACAGGCTAGTTTCTGATTATGTGTTAGACTAAGAAAAATATTATGTCATGTGGATATRTGCTCAGTAACTCTTAGACATTTTATTTTCTTAATGCTGCTAAAAGAGGCTTTTSTGTCTGTGGAATGGCTTTACCCAGCATTTCACAACTTTTAATTCAACATTTAATCTAATCACAGGTTTAATAGCTTAATTAAATTTTCTAATATTCATTGTGTTGCTTATATATACTRAGATACATCCATGAAAAATTCTGTATAAGCAGTCTTAACACAGAGTATATTTTAAGTATGTATATGCACAGATCAAATGGAATCTATTCTGCCCAAAAGGAATACCAGATGCAATTTCTAGATTTTTTTCAGCACATATGTGTGCTGACAAACTTGACTTTTCCAAAATTATCTATTTGTAGCAAATATACTTCAGTGATGTTAAGAAGCTATATCTAACTACTTGTCAATATAATATATTTATATATTTTATATATTTATAATGCTTAGATTATTGAAGCATTGCTGTTGTAAAATGTCCACAGCATTCCATAGTAATGTTATTTTAAAAGAAGTTGTAAGAGGAGCTAAAGTAAAAAAAGGTTAGATTCTTACTAAACAAAAATCAAAATGGACTTTGACTTCAAAAATTGCAATGAAAAGAACTAAGCTCTTGGCCTGTACTGTGTGTGTGTTTTCAACATTTTGTTTTCAGTGTTGATTAGCTGTCTTATTTTTTTGCCATGATAGTATTTATTTTTACGCTAATTAATTGGCTTGTGTGTTTTTGTGTATACAGACACGTGCTTGATTTCAAAAGTTTATTTCCGTAATAATTTCCAGTCTTATAATAATTTAACTGGAAATATCCTTAGGAATCTCTCATACATAGTACTTGTGTTTGGATTCTACTTTCTGCCCTTTTCCACAACTTGTGACCTTTTATTCAGGCTATTTTTCTCTCTCTCACCCCTTGAGCTTTGCCCCCACAAGACTTTTGAGGTTTTATACCTTCAGATCTCCAGCAAAGAATAACACGGGAGACAGAAACAATTCTTGGATGAAATGTCACGGATATAATCTAGTTTCACAGCAGGGCTCTAATTTCTGTTTCTTTAGTCCCTGGTTTTCAGGTCTGTATGTAACTTTATATATCTTTGCTGCCTTTCAGCGAACAGGGCATCAATCTGCATCACACTTGCTGATTGCAAGTGTTATGGTAGGTTCTGTTATCTGATAGTTGCTGTGTCCTGAGCCCACCTGCCTACCTACCTACTTGCCTACCTACCTACCTACCTACAAATCGCAGATGCACCCGGTGCTGCTGCAGAGCAGTATGTGTGATCACTCTCCGTTGTTCCTCTGGTAGCGTCGGAAAAGCTGTTATACTGCAGTCTCTCATATTGCTATGTCTTTATTCATGTGTGTGTAGAACGTGGTGGCGCTTTTTTTTCTGGAAATCTAGTTTTGCAAGCAATGAAGAGGTTAATGAATTTTTTTTTTAACTGTGTAGTCTGTCTTTGTATATATATATTTTTTTTCTGTTTTCTGATCCAAGATTGCTTAACTAGATTTTTAAGTAATATTAGAGCTAAAATTGTTTCAGGCTCAAAATACTGAGGATCCAAACTGGGCTCTGGGCTTTTGGGGAAAAAATGTAAACTTAATAATGAGTATTCCAAAGGCAACAATTTTTCTTAATGGCTATAAAAGCAAACGCAAATTGTCTTGACATCCCTAAGATTAAAGTTTAGTTGAGAAGGAAAACTTTAAATATATTTAAAAGGCTAATGTACTTCATTATGCCATATAAAGTTATAGTGCCTTAGCATGCACTCTTTATTACATTTTCATTCTTGGAATATGGTTTTCCAGTTAGACAACGTTTATTGCATTTTATTCGGATTTTTGTTTTCCCTTTGACTGCTGTCATTAGTAGTGAAGCCAGTGGCCTCATCAACAAGATAGCAAATGGAAAGACGGTAGCCACAGTTTTACTCAAGAACAGGAAAACTAAATCACCTGCATTAGCTATACTGAAAATATTTTTATTCCAGCACTGTAGGTTGGAGTCTATGTTTAGATACGTGGTTATATAGGTTCTAGATCTTTGCTTCTGTGCATGAGAGACACCATGCTGAATACTTTGTACTGGATCTCTATTGGGAGTGGTGGAAATCAGACTTTTCCTGCTACTTATGGTGGCTATAAGATAATACTAAGGAAGAGTCTCTAATGTGGTTTTGGAGAGCTTTGGTGATTTTYTCATTGTTCTCTGCACAGCAGGCATTAGGGCAAATGTTCATCAGGAAAAAAAAACCCGAGGGTTAAACAGAATTGAAGAGAAATTCAAGCACGTTTAAATAGTTTTCTCCTGGGCATTGTCCCAGTTTTGCATACTTCTTCAAAAATTAAATAGTATTTTAAACTAAGCAATATTTTGGTATCTCTTATTTAATCCCTAACTCCAGATTTGAGAATTATTAATAACATTAAATATTAGTCTTATAGTGTTAGCTGACTAGTAAATGGAAGAGATATTTAAGAAGACATATTATGACTGGAATCATTTCTCATAGATAGTTAAACATAGATAGTTAAAATTTACAAAAGACATGCTAATATGGGAATGCTTCCAGCAAAGCTACCCAATAAAGAAGTGGAATATTGCATGTAACACCAATTGAAAATGAAATGTAAAAAGGAATCTAGTACTAATTATTTTTATATCTAAATTGCTAAGAATATGTACTTTATAGAAACAAGAACCCTATTATTCCTGTTTTATTCTACAACAGATAACAAAAATGGTTTAGATGGACAGAGGAGTTTAGTTGTAGGATTGGTAAAACCTTGCTGGTTATTGGATTTGGTAAACAGTTAGTTAGTGTGGATATATGAGAGAATTTAACTACCTGAATTAAAGGCATTTAACTTGCTTAATGGATGTGAATATTAGTGGGTTTGGTTATTAAACCACTCTACAACGAGCGAGTTTGGAACAGATAATTACAAGTTACAAATTACATCTTTCTCTGTTCATGCAAGTTTTTACTCTTTCCAGAATTGTACAGTAGGCAAAATGGTATTTAACAGAAGAAATTTTTTGATTATAAAAACTGATTAAATCTAATCTCTTGGCAGATCTTTTGTAAACATTATCTCACAAATGATGCTGAAACTAAATTACAGAAACAATGTTTGCTTCTTCATGGCACTATAAAGTAATTTCCTTTTTATCTTTAGCAGTTTACTAGTTTAGGAGGAATAAGGTGAAAGTGTTGCTATAAATGCAGAATTAGYATCGCAATTCAGAGAGAAATATATACATTAATTGAAGATGACCTTGATGCATTTTCATTTCTGGCACAATAAAGTATCTTTTTTCAGGGATTGGGAATGTTCCACTTCTTTGGCCTGTTATTTCTTCATGAGCCTTACCTGGTAAATAGGTAGCATCTCTATTGAGTAAACTGAAGTAAACTTCTTGTTCAATCAAGAGTTAAACATCTGTTTCAATTTTAATCTTAAACCTTTACCTAACTTTTCAGCTTTTAAAATAGCCTCAAGAAAATCTTTACTTGAAAGAATCAAAGACAAGGTTGTCTCTTAACTCTTTTTGAAAGTGATTCATAACTTTCCAACTTCATAAAGGAAACATAAGCAGTTTTTTAATTACTTAAATAGTATAAATATTTTATATTCAAAGAGATTTGTTTACCAGTAACAGGTTAGATTATGATCATTCAATTCTATGTTCATGGAAAGAGTATAGGTCTATTTATATAATAATACATTATGTTGTAGCAGATTGGAGACTTTTTGAAAGAGTCAGATAATCCACTAAGGCCATGGGTTTCCAAGGGAATAACAAGGACTCTAGATGGTGAGCCATGAGCACTCAGTGCTGCAGTGGAGGCATAAGCCGCAGAGATCACTATTTTTTATTACTGAATATTTAAAAGATGTGCTAGCCAGTCTGTTCCTACACTGAAAGAACAAATAGTTTCATAAGCTCCAGGATAAATCAGCTGTAGCTTTCTATGGATTTGTGTCTTTTGGTTGTCTGACTTTCACATATACTAAAATGCAATATAGAGCTGACATTATTCTCCCTCTAGCATTTATAAAACTTTCTTCCATCTGGTATCATTTGTGTCCATGCAGTAACTTTTATAGGTGCTCCTTTACTACCTGGTTTGGCAGTTTTCATAAAGCTTGAGAGCAGTTATTGATCTTTAGTAATTCCATCCTTCTGTCATATTTGATTAGCAAATTCAGAAAGTATTGGTGAATACATGCAGAAGCAGCCAGCATTTCTGTGCATTTTTATTTACATACAAACAAACAAAAACTGGTGATTTTTGCCCAATTAATTGATATTCTATCCATTCTAATTTCCACTTTCCACTTCATTGAGGAAAGGAAATGTTTTTCCTTTTTCCTTTTTGTTTTTTTTCTTTTTTTTTTATATAAAGTGTATTCTCTGTAACCTACACTAGTTCAAATTTATTGCTCTGTATTTTATAATTCTGTTTTTCTTCAAAGCAGAGATGATGTGGAGAAAGGTGATTTATTTTAAAAACTTGTATTTTCTGTCCTTCAGTCTAACTGGGGAGGTGGCCATGTATTCCAACTAACAACATTTTAGCTTTCAGTTTGAAAGCCATAAATTTTGCTGAAGCTCAATTTTTAGTGAAGTGCATATCCTGAGATTAACTGTTTCAAATTTCATTGATGATTTTTTCAAAATTCCAATGGGTGTTTTTGATATCACTAAATTTTGAGTTACATCCCTTACCATTCTATTAGTAGACTCTAGAGATAGAGGCTTTGCTTAATGGAAATGATATTTATATGAATTTTGTGATCTTTGCATGAAGAACCATTTAGGTGCTGGGGCTATATAATAACTAGCTTAGGAGGCTGGAAAGATGATATTTGTTTGTGAACTGGAATTCAATCAGACCTTGAGTTTAGTAGTATACAAGGGGTATGCTTGATGTCTATATACTTGCTTGTGTTCTCAACAAAGAAGCCAAAGTTAACAAGAATTCAGCAGGAATCTTGGATGTGCCCATCTGTTCCTGCCTGCCCTAAAATAATTCCATGAGTCTTTGACACACAAAAGCAATTTAGTCACAGATCTGTATGTAGAACAGTGTTAACTTCTTTAAAGAAAAGTGTATTTGTACATGCTATATAAAGACTAACAAGCAGTTGGAAAATATTATCCCAGAGGTATGCAATGCAAGGAAGGAAAGGCCACCTTGACTACAATGTAAGGGACTGATTTTATGGATTGTAATTTGCAAAGTGCTTTGATCTACACAGTTCATCTCTCAGATATTGTCCCAAGTTAAAATTAACTTAAAGTGACCCGAACTTTTTTAAAATCGTTTTATAGTTATTCTTGCTGAAATAGCTTACGGTATTAAAATTTTTCATTACAAAATCAACGTTTTGGAATTATGCCCATTTACCAAGTCTGTTTTGAGCAGCTGTAATTGGTTCAAGATCATATAACTTTTTACTTTGTGACTTGGAGGTTCTTATGACCTTTTGCATTTCCATTAAATGATCCTATATTTTTGTCAGTAAATGCTATTTAACTATTCCAGTAATTAATAAAAACAAAGAACATTTCCTACTGTGAGTCTTGCCTATGTGCTTTTAAGTCCATGTGAGGATATACTTGTAAAGTCTGGCTGTTAATTAAGTTGTTTTGATCTTTTGTTCTCCTGTTTACACATATTAATTATTACACCTATGAAATCTGATTCAATTGTTTGATATGTGTTGATATTTTTATAATATAACAAGGCTCCATTTCTTGTGTACTAGAGTTATTGTGTAACTGTGATCACAAGATACCTAGAGCTTTATAACATACCAGAAAAATATGTTCATGACCCAAATTTAAAATACTGATTATTTTCCCTGTGGGGCAAATGTCATTCATTCGATGGTGTGGATTGGATTTGGTTTTAATGGCTACAGTTGATATAACGGGGCTTAGCTCAATCTTTACAGAAAGAAACACTTACAAAACAATAGAGATGAGCTTTAGTTTTTAATGTATAGACTGCATGAGCTTGCACAGTTCATTTTCACAAGTTTCAGGGGAGTTAGATGATGGATAAGGGCATTTGAAATAAGCATCCATATACTTCTGTAAATAAATCTGTATCTGAAACCACTTTCCTACAAAGAAAGTTCCTGCACTGRGTACTGTTCTATTTAGAATCTCCTGGTAGATCTTGATTCCCTAGACTGGACTTGAACTGTCCAGCTGCTAGAGAACTTTTTGGATGTCATTCTTCCCAAACAATAAAAAGACTTAATCAGGCAGATGTTCCTGGTAAGGACTACAGAAAGGAATTTTTGTGAAGTAGGAAATTTTTATCCAGACTGCTGGAATAATGTTGCTGTTTCATTAAGGAATGCTTCCGCTGACTTTAAAAATGAGTTCTCACCTCAGTAAATAAGTCTTAATTCAAAATCATAGGCTGTGAGATAGAACCTTTTTTTGGTTGACCTTTATTGGCCTTGGACCAAGTGTGCAGTATGAACTCACTAGGCGAGTACAGTAACAGCTAACCATTTGAGCTCGAGGCTATAAATAAATACAAATTTTATTTTTACTCAAATACGAGTAAATGGCTTGAGATTTTTCTTATACTTTGATCCAAATTAACCCTTTAATTTCTTGTAGGTCCACATCTGTGAGCGTATAATGTATTTTTTTATTGGTACATGCATAATTTTGATGATATTGCCTGAAGTTAAAGAGAATCACTCAGGAGGATGCATATCTCTCTTGAAATACTTATAACTCTCAAGTCCAAAGTTTCAAGCTCTGTCTCTGCCTTTCATGGAGCCTGTTGCATTTGTTTCACAATGTCTCACCTCTGAAACTAAAGAATTTGTTTTGGTCTTACTTCACTGTAGCGCTTAGCCACTGCTGTTGTTCCATATGAAACCTTTTATTAGTGTAATAGGTATAATTATTATTTTAGCTATAAGACCTGGTTAAATGCATGAGAGATGTTTGGAAATGTCTAGGAGTATGCCTTTGAAATTTTCACAGCTCTAATAAGCAGAAACTTTTCTGCTGTTTAGGTTGTTTGTTTCATTACATAATCTGAGGCATGAAGGATTTTGATGAGCTAAAATTTTGGTTCTTGATTTCCTTTCCTCTGATGTTTAAAGTTGCTTTTTGGCTACCTGAAGTTATCAGTTACACTCTTAGATCTTCCTGGTTATTCTAGTAAAAAAAAAAAAAAAAAAAAAACCAAGCATTTTGAAATATTGTGAGGAATTTGTTGTCCAGATTTTTAAGTGGTTCTTGTGAACCACTTAAAGACATTAAAATTATAAACTTGATGAGAGTTTTTTCTCTCAAGGCAAAGGCACCCCAAGAGATAGCTTTGTAGGTATTCCAGGAAATTCTCAAGGATAAGACAAAATGTAAGATCTCTGTTTTTTCTGACAGTGTGTCCTGTGAATATGCAGGCTGGTGATACTTCCTTTACATACACACACGAGTCCTACATCCTTTGGAGAAGTTCCACAGGACTGGGAGTTTTCTTCACTATTTAGGTAAGACACARTTCATGCTAACAAGGATTATTATCCTGTTTTCTAACTTCACTGGAATTTTAGCAACCAGGTCAGTCCTAAAGAGTCTTATCTCCTCTTCTTTTATTGATATTATTTTGCCTGCAATCAAAACCCTTTTGGAAGCCAGCGTACATAGCTTTACATATTGCCTTTATACATTGTGTATTGCTCCCTTCTTTCTGCTTGGGCAGCAAAAATACTGTAGAAGAGGAATGGAAAACCTTCCTGGGAGGCAGGAATAGGGAACAGAGTTCAAGAAAGTCAGGTGCATAGTCCTTATGTGCTCATCTACCATGCTTCAAGTGTAGAATAACTAAAGAAACAATGTCTTTGTTAAGAAATGTATTTGTCTTTCTTGTTTCTATTAATGAGGTTTTAAACCACTTGCCCTGTAAACAATTACGACCTCTGGGTATTGAGAAAGTAAATAATCATCTAGACAAACTATAATTATAGTTCTTATCTGAAAAAAAAAAAAGTGAAAGAATGACACAAGGCTTGTCATCAAAACACAGTAACAACATAATCTTTTAATATTGAAAATGTGATCTAATCCAAGTCACAAAAGCTAAATTCCAAGGCCATGAGAGAAGATTAAATTGGCAATTTTTCATAATGGAGAAAGAAAGTTGTTGTTGTACAGCTAAAAATAAAGATAGAATTGACCTGCAAATTGATCATGTATGCATAAATCAATTGTGTAAGCGTTCAAAAACTTGGAAACCTGGTTTAGGAAAGTAAGGATTAGTCATTCAGATAAGTAAAACTAAATTGGAATTCATCCTTTCAATATGGAAAGCTACTTCATTAACATTTAAAATCTGTATGATTAAATGTTAATATCCTGGGCAATCTTCAAATCTTCATGATTTTCATGATAATCTCTTTAAAATGTATCTTACCTGTTTCACCAAGCAGATCCTTGCTAGCATAGTCCAGTGGATTTATGCCACCTCTAATGTTTAATTTTTAAATTTATGATTCCACTTATTATGATATATAGTTACTAATACTTGCATGCCTATTAATACAATAATACAGCTTATTATGATCCCTCCTCATATAATAGCTAAGGAAGAAAGTTTTTAAATGGAAGAAAATCATTGCAAGATTTTAAGAGGGAAGATGAAGAAATTTGATAATTTAATTGCTTTTGTAACTTTTTAGAATATAAGACTATCCTCTAGTTGTGTATAAAAGTAGAGATTATCTGCCAAGTCAAGCACCAGCACAAGACAGCAACGTGAAACCTCCCACACRATTGCAAGTTCCACACGCAAACTATACAATTATAAATGTTGTTTTAGTTCTTTTTTTCCGCAGCTATAGCAATGAGAAATATGCTCTGGAGCCAATTGTAGTGTTTCTGTGAGCTTTACAGCAGCCATATCAGACACCCATCATAGTACTTCTTTAGCCAAGCTCTGTGATGCCCTGACAAATCTGTTTCTCTCAAACTGGCTTTAGCCCCTCTGTGTCTATGAGCCTGCAGACTCTTTTCATTATAAACAGTAGGGGAGTGGGCCGGAAGAGGGCAGAGAAGAAACAAATTGATTGATATGAGTGATCTGAGGAGAGAGGAAAATTCTGCACAGCAGAGCATTTTTAAGCTTATGTTATTGCAAACTTGTGCTCCCTTTCTGACAAGAGGGAAGTGTCAAGGTTTTAATAACAACACATGACAGGTTTAGAAGAAGGGAAGATAGGATTTTCTTGCCCTCTCTGCAGCAGGTGTAAGCAGCTATTTGGCTGTACTGGTCAGTACATACCTGAGCAAAGATTGAGTTTAAAGTGGAACAATGTATGTGTGTCAGATAATAAAAGAAGCAAAGCATAGAATTAACCAAAGAGTTGAGAGAAACTCAGCCTATTTAAATAAATGATACCCGTCAAGACCGTTATCAAAACTTGCTAATAACAAGAAAAAGTTGCATATGGAGATGTCTCAAAAAAAAAAAAAAAAAAAAAAAAAAAAAAAACAAAAAAAAAAAAAAAAAATATTGAATACATTCTTTCTGGACAAAACCATAGAGAAGGTAATTGTGAATTAAATCCAGCTGCACAGGGAAGGTAAATGAGAATGAACTCCAGCTGTGCTTGATTTTTCATAAGTATCCAGGATTGCAGTTTAGGCTGCAGGCCTAAATCCRGTTCAGTTTACTGGGTGCTTCTTATTGCCCTTGACAACAACAACAACAAAAAAGCATCATTTATGCTGATATCACTTCAGCAATATGTTATTGGCCTGCTTATACCTTGTGAAAGAGCTTACCTAATCACATGCAGAATATTAAAATAGATGGTGAACAAATGCCTTTGTCTCCCAAAATGTAATGACTCTACTCTGTTTTAAGTGGGTCTGATTGTGTTGGTATTCAAGTTGCTTAACGTTTTCCATTAGAGTACTGTGTTCTGTTGTCATATCCATGCCAAACTATAACTCGTTCATTGATTAACACAAACACACTCATCGGCTACATAGTCCAACCAACTGCATATTATTTCCATTGCAAGGGTGTGTATGTACACATAGTTCTGGACTGCCATAATCATTCCGTCAGTGTCTTTATGTATTTGCAATTTCAAGTGTCATGATTGTCTTGTTAATATGGAAACATAATTCCTCTTACTCATTAGTGGTATTTATGTATTCAGTTAATGCATTTATTCTAAGTAAAAGAACACTGCATGACTAACTCTGCTAGAAAAAAAACTATGAGGGGGACAAAATGAGACCCTTTGTGAGGAAAGGGCCTTGGAATGCCAGAGTCCCGAATGCCTATTGTCTAGGGAAGAAAGTGATTTATAATATATGCTGAATGAATTCAGCATTTGGAAATGAGAAAAGGATGAGGTTGATTGTTCCAGGACTGCTTTTATTAACAGATTTGGCATTGTGCTGCACATAAGGTACACACGTTTAAATGGTCCCTGTTTGTTGTGTGACTGGCGTAGTCACACAATGCAGGAGCGTTTTGATGAAGCAGCAGCAGCTAATGGGGAGCATACAAATGGTCATCAGTTTGATCCGCTCTTTCACAGTGGAATTTAGTTTGTGTTTCATCACACTTGGAAAAGATACTTTTGTTAGTGGGAACAGGCTAGTATAAAGTAAAAAGAAGAGTTTACATTTTAGTAAAAATACCTATTGTAATTTTATTTCTAAGGAAAGAAAAACATGAGATTGTGGCCAACCAGTTGTTAAGCTGGAACCATTTGTTGCATGAGGAGGCTAAATCTCTCATCTTGCAGATAAGCTTAATAGCCGTAATCATCCAAAACTGAGTTTGCTTCAGGAGCTAAATTTTAATTGTCGAATTACAGAATAAAATCCAGGACTTTAAGGTAAAAATGGGCTCCATTCTGCGACCCAGGAATGTGCTGAGCAGACAGACAAAGCAAGCCAGTAAGGAGGGTTTTGTGAACTGAGCTTCGAATTCCTCCTCTCCCCCGAGCAGCGCTGCTGGCTCTGGGGCTCCAAGGTTGGACTCTGCAGTCCAAAAGCTCCCACAGTTACCCACACAGAGCTGTTCTTTCAAGGTCAGAACAGCAGTGCTGTTTTATTTTCAAATGCGCCCATGGAGGAGATCTCTGTGAAACTCCATGAAGACTTTTCCACCATGGGATACCGGTCTAAACCCTCTCTGGATGAAGAAGGCATCAAACACATTTGCCCTAAGGCTCTGCCTCTTAGACAGTTTCACCTTCTGCCTCTTCCCTTGCATTTACTCTAAAAGGAAGTTTCCTTCTGTATTTTCGTGGAGTAAATTCTGTTTCCTTCTTATGTATATGTTTTCTACCTCCCTAGATGGGCTCCTTCGGGATTTAAAGAATCCTCTGCCTAATTTTTGTGTTCCTATCCTTTCTCTTTAGGACAAGCTGAATGATGAGCTGCTAAACCTGGACGAGCTGTGAACATGCTCAGAGCAGCCTGCGTGGCCCAGCAGGAATTAGGCTAAGTTAAACAAAGAGAGGCCTCTGCRCTCTGATAGTCCCGAAGCCACAGTTTTTTCCATCACAGTTTTAAAGTTTTCCTCAACTGCGGTTGAATTCTGAGGTGGGGAGTGATGTGATTTGCTTCTAAAACAAGCAAACAAAACCCCTTTAACCCTGAGTGTTTTCACAGCAACACCCAAATGTTGTGGGATGCAACATAATGTAACTGCAGAAGCTGGCAGAGACAAAACTGCCAGCAAACAAATCGGTTTCGGAAAAGGTGGACCAGGAATCTGAAACAGACTATTAATCCAGAAAGGAAATAAAAAACACATTGCATTTTTTCTCTCAGAGATTGTCCCCACCATGTTCCTGAAAAAATAACCAATTTTAACGGGTTCTGTTCTCCTGATTATCACAAATGAATTAGAAGGAGAAAGACAGAATACATCTTTTGTTAAGAAAATTAAAGATAACAGTTTCAGTCTTGGAGTAATCTTTTAAAATTGTTCATGGCCAAATTCAACAACGCAGCCCAGCTAGCCAAGTACTTCAGTATGTACATAATTTTATTCACTTACTTAAATCCCTCTGACTTGAAGAGGATTTAAGCAGGTGCTTAAGTGCTTTGCTGCAACAAGATCTTAAATTGGTAGATGGTGAATTTGAGACAAAGAAAGGTCACATTTTTTAATCTTTGCTGGTAGGTGTCTATGAAAATTGGTCTGATTTTTCAGAGATGTTCCTGTAATTCCTACTACTTTCAAATTTCTTTTTGTCTTTTTTTTCCTTTTTTTTTTTTTTTTTTTTTTTTTTTTATTTTTTTTTTGTCCCTTTTAGGATCTTCAGTAACACACCTCTCCCAAACTCATCCCAGCTCTAAAGAAGGGGTTGTGCTGGTCTGGTTTGGGCGATCCATATTTTTGCAATTGCAAATAGTAGATATAATTTCAAGGCAGATCATCCCTATATTGAAAGGGATGGATCTTTCAAGAAAAGTTTTCCAGCAGTTAACACAGTAAACAAGGGCAATTTCAAAGGCAATTCTTTGAAAGTCAGGTAGGTACTAAGCCATAGTGGAAATYACTTACACCTTTGAAAATGTCACCTTTTAAACTTTCTTTTTTTTTGGTTTCATTTTATATAGACATTGTCTTCTTGATATGATCAATTGCCATTCCATATACTTCACTGACAAATAAGATGGCAAATTGTTAAGATGATTAATGTAACTGTCAGGTAAAATACTCATAAATTTAACTGAGCTACCTCACATACAAGGGGTGAACATTTGTCAAGGTTTATGTGCTTTGACCACTTTACATAAGCCTCTGCTTGTGTAAGTAAATGTGTGTCCAGTTGGGAGCATGGATGAGAAGGTGGTTGGATACGGTGCCACGTGGTGTAGCTGCTGCCAGTCCTGTCCTGAACACTCTGTATCCAGTCTGTGCCACCTACCAGCCTATATAGCCTTGATGTTATAGGTAAGATGATAGTTCTGATAGTTTTATGAGATTAGGGGTGCCTTTTTGTGTGTGTGCCTTTTTGTGTGTGTGTTTCCTCTAACTTTCTTCCCAAATACTGCTGGTTTTCTCACCCAGGCATTGCAGCTGAATTGAGAGCAGTTCTAGTTGTGTCTTTCATAAAGTTTTAATAGTCTTGTATAGCCTGCCACATGGATGTGTAAAAACACCAAAGTTGTTATCCAGAGAAGACTTAGGATTTTTTTTTTTGTTTTTTCAGGGCTTGCTTTCATACTACTTTAGACTTCATTGATAAAATATTAATTGGAAATCTCTCCATCTTTTAAAAAAATCTGTAAAATTTGAAATACCTTTAAAATCATATTGATGTATAACATATAGCTCCTTCCATTAAAAAAAAATCCCTACTTATTACCAGTCTCTGTGTAAACTAACATATAGTTAAATATTTTAATTCAAAAAAAATGTCTGGGAGGCAGGTGGAGCTATGGAAAACTCAGAAGTGCTTAAAAAGGAATCGTAGCATCAAACTTAGAGGCAAACTAAAGACAAGGTTGAATGCTGTTAATAAYATGGAATATTTCTAAGCACTTGCTGGAATACTCTGCCAGAGCTTTGTGTTTCCAGCATAAACTGATGGAGATAAACACTTTTTTGATACTCCCACTACCAAGTGCTTATAAAGTGTTTATATCTATAATTGTGTCAAATTATGTTAATTAAGCTCTGAAAGACACTAGTAAGTTGAAGTGCTCAAAAAGTGCATTACTCTGAGTGTCACCCAGGGGCTCCTCACAGCAGACACTTGGGGGACAATTTTTTTCCTTCCAAGCACCTTTAGAGCACTATGTCTTTAAGTGTCTTTCTGGTTTTAATTAAATTAAAAAAGCAAGTGCTAGTTAAGTGCACATGATTTACTCTAATCTTTTGAAATGCAAATGCATTCTAGACTAAAATGCCCTTTCCTTTTTTTACAGTCCTCCAGTTTGCTCCKCAGTTCTCTCACCTCTTTTCTTATCGCTCACATCTTTTATTGAGTATTCAGCTGCTGAAAAAAGTCATGGTAAAGGCAGGGAATTAACTYCTTTGTGTGATTAGGTAGAAGACAGAACTACTCATAGGACCTTATTAGGGTATCTAATAGCCTTATGAAGAAAAGCCCTGTTAGCTCAAAGGAAATTCTGTGTGGACCTGGACCACTCTCAGAATTTGTTCTTCTTCAACCCCAGGCTGGCTATGAAATCTCTACAGCAGATTTCTAGTATGACTTTAGCAAGTAAAGTTAGTTTCTTTCCAACAAACCTAAATCATTTTCCAATGGAGGTGTAGGTCATTAGCCATATTCAGTGTTTTGATTTTACTGATATTCTAAGAGGGACTGATATTATAAGATGGAAGAATTTTGTATAGCACCATAGAAATCTACTGTGAGGACACAGGAGAGAAAAAAAAAAAAAAAAAAAAAGCCATTTCTGAAGGAGAACATTTTTTAAGATAGGAGCAGCAGCACAAGGACAAAAAAAATCATACATGTCTCCCTGACGAGTCAAAAAATCATTCTTAAATCTGATCAAAAATAAACAGGCACTTTTAGAAATGTTATTATAGTATATCCTACTTCAAGGGCTATTCTGTTTCATGATAGAATATTTTTTTCTTTTAGGTGTACAGATAACAATCCTTATGTTACCTAATTCTGACTAGACTCTATTAAAATGATTTTTTTGCTTTTCTGAGAAACTATATTTAATCCCTATGTCAATGTGCTGAGAAAGATAGTAAAGATATATCTGAACTTTAAACTTCTTTAATCTTTTTCTTTAGCTTTCATTCTTGTTGCACAGCCTCAGCAATCAGATTTCAGCACTCCATTCCTCAGAAAAACTTACAGATTTAGAAACTATAGTGAGATAAGGTTCTCCTTTGACCCAAAGGCACAGTTTTCCACATTACATCTTCAGAAGGTCTTTTAAATGAAGATGTCTATTGAAATTTTCCAAATAGATAGAATTTAATTTGGTAATGACTAGATAGCATCGGATAGGTGACTGAAGGCCACTGAGGTATAGAGCTGAGATGTGTACCACGAGGTAAGCAGGCATCCCTGTCAGTCCCTCCTGAATGTATTATCTGAAAGGTCCTTCCTAGCCTCACATGCATAGACTGAATTGTTCTGAACTTCACTCTCTGGGGAAAGGTACCCATTTCACAAGTTGTCACGCTCAATGCAGCCRGAGTGAGTAAGCCAAGAACTGGGTGAACATTGTGCTTGTTCTTTCCAGTTCAAGGTAAAGCACGTTGTCAGGGCACTCGAAGCCCTTCTCAACAACTGTTTATGCTATATAGGAATGTAAGCCGAGGGCTTCATGCTCTGCAGATCCCAATCCAGCTCTTGCTTGCAGGTTGATCCAGTTATCAGTGAAGTCAGTTACCAAGGGACTGATTTAGAGTGAGCTGAATGAACTCTCTGGAGTATCAATTAAATATAGAAAAGCTGAATGGTGATTAGTGTGAACTGTTATCATCTGCTGTTTGGAAGGAAAGGAATCAGTGCTCTGATTGTCTTCTGAAACGTTACCTGTTATAATCATACCTCTCTTTTCTGTCCTTCTAGCTACTTGATTGCCTATTTATTTGCAATAGTCTTTGGAGGTAATGAACAAATTAAATTTAGATAGAGGGCTCAGTTTCACTGTTGGCACAGCTTTACTGAAATAAGTGGAGTCAGCCAGGAAATTCAAAATACATTGTATTCAGCAACCGTAAGCTATCTGGCCTGTTGATGACTTCTAAAATCCCTTCAGTGCATGCCAGTGTGTGCCTGTACGGTGCAATTTTATTGCCTTTTAAAGGACAATACATACAAGTCTGAAAGCCAGAAGGTACTGAAATACAGTATGTGTTATGTTACTTAGATGAAATAATTTTCAGAATGAGTAAAACTTAACATTTGGAGAAGGGAAGAGTGAGAGAATTGCTTTTGCCTTTTGCCTTTGGGAAATATCTCATTTGGTAAAGTCTTTATGTTGTTTTGTTTGTTTTTGAGTGACAGAAAGTCAGACTGGTTTGAATCCAGGTCCTCTTAATACAACCATCCACAGAACGCTGTGCGTAGTTAGAGAAATGGCGTTCGTTACTGTTGTATAAATGACTTTGTAATCAGGGCATAAGCCGGCACTGTTATTGTAGTACATGCTGCCAATGTTTGACAATTCCAAGGTACTACAGGTTTTCAAAACCTCAAATCATCTGGCAGACCTTAGGACATCTGCTGCTCATCTGACTAGGAAAAGAAAGACTGACAAGCATACAAAATGAGAGGATCATTAAGGCCCAGACTGGTTTTTGAAGCCACAGCCACATAAAGAACAGGACAGAGGGACGCAAGTTAAGAAGAGAGGCTTCTGTCTGTGACAGACACAGCAAAGAAGGAAACCCAGGAGCAAGAAGAACACATAGTCAGCTAGCAATAYATGCCATGATATAGTAAGCAGGATATACTACTTTCTGTGTGGCCTACATCCACCTACATGGCAAGGTAGGGTTATGGGCCTTGCCTGTACAAAACCATGATGCTAAGTAGCACAGCTGGCACCCAGTTTTAAGGCCTCCAACACTAGGTTGGCAGCAGTTGGTGAGTCTCTGCTTTTTGCTTTCCAAAACCCTGTTTACGTAAAGGAGTCAGAGTGCAGACTTCACTAACAATGTCTTATTTGATAAACAGCTTATGCTACAGAATTTTTTTTAATAAAATGTTCACATGTGACATACCTGGCAATTATTTTTTTATTGCTCTACACTTATATATATATATATATATATATATATCTTCCTTATGCAGTTATTTACAACATAGCTCTAATGATGTGTTTTCTCCTCTATACCTACAACAACTTAGTTTTTGTGAAGGTGAGGGAGTGCCTCCAGAGACAGCACGCTGCTGAGAAGAATTAGAAGACCAAAGGTAATAGATCTTTTAATTTAAGATAGAGCCACTTGCCATTTGTGTACCTTTAAAAAGCAGTCAATTCTAATTATAGAGATTTATCTTGGACTAAGGAAGAAAAATACTAAAGTAAATGCTGCTTCTTCTGCTATGACTCTAGGGTTAAGGCTTTTCTAAGTGGGATTTATGCATATTGAGGACAAGAAAGCAGCTGCCATCAATTTCTAAATTAATTGTTCATATGGTGGTAGTGTTGTTGTTCTGAGACTATTTTTCCCTCTTTATATCTACAAAGCAAAAGTAATTGGCATTGCTTTATTTATCATTAATGTTAGGAGGAATAAAAAAGAAAATGTGGTAGACGCTCTTTGAAAGGAGGAAGGCATTTCTAGTAGTTCTTGCAGAGTGATCTTGAATTTCATACACAGAATATTGGAATTGCAATGGAAGAACACACCTATGATCCATCTTAACTGGAAAATTTTCACTCTGTACCAAATAACAAAGGCTTTGCTGAAAGGTACAGACCCACAGCTTGAAAAAGATAAACATGGCAAGAATCACTTTCAATGCAGTTTGAAAGACAACTGTTGCATCTCTCCCTCTCCCTGTTTTGCCTCATGTCCCTGAAATGTTTTTGATTTTACTGTGTCTTCTTTTTTCCTGATAGCATTTGTTCTCCGCATGGAAATTCTTTAGTACTCATCAAGATATCTGGTGTCCTTTCCTGAGATATCATTTATCATGGCACTGTTTATCACTTTGCTTATCTGGGCCACAGATGTGCTGGCCTAGATTTGGAGGCTTTATTCTTTTGTAAGCTATAAAAAAATAAATCTACRGAAATGAATAGAACAACAAAAATCAAATCACCTCCAACAAAGTTTCACAGTCTCTGGAACTTTTAAAATAGCCTTTCTTCTTTTGTTCTTGTCAGACGGACATGTAGGACTTTATTTAATATAGAGAAGGAGCAGCTGTGTGCCAAACACTTTTTGGTCTTTCACTGTTGTCCACATGTGGTGAGTGATGGAAATGCTGCACTACTACTCTCAAAATTCTTGGTATGAATATTGCATGGCTACATTTAGATGGAATGTTGATGTAATGGCATTAAAATCGAGAACTGAACAAACTCTGCTTCATGTTTCATGCTTATTAACTCAATGTTCTCAAACTAATATATTGCTGGATGTTTTCTTCCAATTGTWCTACATTTATTTGCTCATCATCCTGTTCTGATGTTTCCTAGTGCATGTATGCCTGGAGTTACATTAGTTTCCTTAAGAAGATAGCCATGTGAGCAGAAKTCACCAAGGAGTTATTCTCAAGGGCCACCAACAGAAGTGGAAGCACCTGAACATATTTTTGCAGCAGCAGGAGAGACGGTGTCTTTGTGAAGCTCCAGGAGGCAATGGCAGTGAAACCAGTACTGCTTCGTCCAGCACCACGGAAGTCACTCAGAACACACGTGGATGTGCTGAGGCCAAACTGGCCCSATGCAGAGATAACATCTCAGCTAGCAATAGACCAGAATGGGAATGGCAGGTGACAAGAAGTGAGGTGGTGCTTTCTCCTGAAGACTGCCATGGAGCCCAACCAAATGTGTTTTGAGGCAGTGAGAAACTGAAGCAAAAATCAGTTGCTCTATATGTTGCTCTATATGCTCTATATGGGGGGATGTTTTACTTTTTAAATTGCTCCACACATGTTAGGCCACATTTTGCAAAACTGATGCTGCGTTTCAACTCCATTTAAAAAAMTTCTTTTTTTATAGAGACTTCTTTTCTTTATAGAGTTGCAAGTGAGGATGTTTTGGCCAATGTGCAATCTGGAGAAAATCTAGTTTTCCCTTTTTTGTGCATGTGTGAGTATTGAGCTGCTTTTGATTTCATTTTGTTAAGAACTCTGAATACTGAACCTGGCACTTGCTGCTATTGAAACCTCCTGACAGAGCATTCAACATACTGTATATGCTAGGAAAAAAGACATATCTCCAGTAAGATAAGCAGTACTAACTCAATATTGTGGCCATTAGTAATCTAATTAGAAATCATCTGAAATCTTAAAGAGTAAGTTTTGCAGTAAACCTGAAGAAGGCTATCAGAATTAACGATTCAATCTATAACTGGCCTGGAAGAGGAGTATTGGATACATTTGCTTGAGATATGAGCCACAAGATCTGGCTGGGAGAAAAATCTAGTGCATGCTCTGAATTTTACTCTTACCTGTCACAGGATGTAAGTTTACAGAGTCTGGTAGCACTTTTGTAACACTACTTTGCATTTACAACTTAATTCTCCKTTTACAGATGGCTGAAATTCTCTGAGTTTGTTGGAATTTTGGGGGTTTGTTTGTTTATTTATTTATTTTGCAGAATGTTCCCATCACAGAGGTAATTAACTCTTTTACGTGGGAAATGTACACAGAGGTGCTYGGCCAGAGACAGGATTCTTAGTGAATCTTAGGGAGTTTGAATGAGAAACTTGCACAGTTCCGGTTTAAAAATGAAAACAAAATGAGGTCAGATTCATGATTTATCCAGCTATTGAAATGAAGCTTCAGTTGTGGTGTGTTTTCTGCTAGAACTAGGGCATGCTTCTTTAAAGGAGTTCAATTTTCTCTGTAAATGGAACCATCCTAGGGCCTGTAGCAGCCTCCAATATTCTGTTATTCATCTGTAGCAATGCCAGSAGTAAAAGGGAAGGGAACTGTTATTTAAAAGTCTGTTGGGACAGTACTTGATTATTTTCTTTACCTCTGTGATGAATCTGCTATTAATATATGGGAGGGAACAAAGYGGTTAAGACCATTGCATTTTCTAAGCAGAAGATATGAGGGAAGGCAATTCCTCGTGTGCTTCATGGGGATGGTTATAGGCAATAYACTCCGTCTTTTCTCTGCTTGCAATCTCAGCATTGCAGAAGGCTCCAGACATTCCCTACATTGCAGAACCGTTCTCCCTCAGTGAGGAGATGACAGCATATACTCTTTATTTTCCATTTAAGTGTGTCCATTTTTAAATCCTGTGTATATCTTACTGGTAGGATGTGACAAGCTAATCATAATGTAAAAAATGTAAAGTTAAGGAAGAGACCTAAAGGCTTCTCAGAGTGAACTGTTGTAACTGTGGTCTATTTAAAAGCATCCTCAGCCTGTGCTCGAGCAGGCTCACTGGGGTGAGCTGGAGGTTGTGTGATTCCCCTTTCTTTGCATTCAGGTTGGCGTGATCGCGCTTTGAAAAACACTCTTCAGAAAGTAAAGGCTGATAATCCTTCAATGGCAAGCTTGGCTGCYGCCTATGATAACCTGTCTCCACTGCAAATTACAGTGAATATATTTGGAAATAGATGGACATGTCACATTGGTGCTAATCGGTACCCACRGCTAACGTATCTCTGTGCTGAGCAGTTGTGTTCAGCAATTCGGATATGAGATATCGGGAGGGGAGGGGTGGGGACTTAGCTTTATCTGACAGCACCGTGGTGCTGGGAGAGCCTGTCCAGGGTGTGGGAGTCCTGGCAGCAACTCCTGCCTGTGCTTGAGGGGCCGAATCCACATCCCTCCAAGGCTAGGAGGTATTTAGGATGGAGGCAATCCAAATATTAATTGGATGCAGAAACTGGAASGCAGACTTCCCTTCTCCCAGGTGCATGCTGAAAAAAAAATAGATTGTGGAGTGATATTTGTTCTTACTTTCTGTCTTTTGCCTATGGCTGTATAGTTAGTGCACATGATTTGTCCATTATTCAGAGAAATGAATAGTTTCACTTCAGTGGCAGAGTTTATGCTGGTTTCCAATGATTCAAACAAAGATGCTTTTTTTTTTTTTGTACAAGAATTATTGAGCTGTCCTTTATCTGCAAACATGTTACCAACTTCCATCATAAGCCAACAGCATTGCAATATTTCTCATCTTTATGGCTTGGCAGYGCACATTAAGAAAGAAAAAGGTTCTGTCTTGTGTTTTTTTTTTTTCTTCTACAAAATGCAGTATGCAAAATACTAAAAGTCAGGGCTGTATTCAAAAGAGATTACACCAATGTATAAGATGGCAAATTTAAAAATTAAATGCACATCATTCAAGTGGGATGTTTCTTTTTGTTTGGTTTGCTCTGTAACAAACAGATTCCTACTTGTACTCATTATTTTGTAAAACCTAAACTAATGAAAGAAACATGCATGTCTGGCCTCGTTGGAATTCTGCAGTATTTCTCTTTWCTTTGAATTCTTTTTCCAGTTTATTATTTGATGATCAATATTGATCATTATATATGCTTACCATTCAAATATACATATATTGCTTGCAATATATGTGCCTGCATATATAGACATAGACACACGGTTAACAAATTCTTTCATAAATTTAGTGATGTTTGTATTTGCAAAATGTTGAGTTCTGCTAATCACTAACTGAAAACCTACTTGGATGAATAATACTTAGAATGTAAAATATTGTTAACAATGTTTTCCTTAGTTTAGTCACATAGGTTGCATGGTTATTTTCCTATGAAACATGAGATATCTCCAGAGATGAAGAGTGATTAAAAATGTCAATTTAGGGTATTCTTCTGCATGAATATATTTTATATGAATATATTTAATATATCCTTTATATGAAAATGCAAGAAGATTTATTCCTTAGTATTTAGGTACTAGCAAACAAGGATGTTTGTCAGTAACAATAAACCCAATTTACTTATTGACAATTATGTAAGTGGTCAGTCACTAATGTCATCCACTTTGTTCAGGAGATTGGAATCACTTCCAAGATCTCAGMAAAATATTCTTGAAATTAACCTTAAATAACATTCCTTGTATGTATCACCAAAATGCACTCATATAGTGAAATGAGATGGCATTACAGACAATTACAGAGAGAAAGTAAAGTCATATAAAGTGGTATGTTATGGAGTTGAATTGGAAGAAATTTTTAGGCAGTTAAACTGCAGTTATTCAGGATGTAATTTGGTGTTAGCATCTATGTTCTGTTTTATATTTATTTTCAACTCCTAATATTAAGTTTGCCTTGACTAAATGCAGTCCTAATAAAAATCTCTACTACAGCTGTCAAGGCAAACAGGCACAATCCAAAGCTGCAGCATCTCGTAACCTAAAGCTGCAGCATCTCATTGCTGCAATATCATGTTTGTCTTTTAAACAGTGGGTTAGCATGCATCCTATGCATGCCCACTCACATATCATAAGCAGCCATTCTCATCATTTCTCTGGTTTACTGGCAGTGTGTTAGTACCAAAGATCTCTCTGTTTTCCCCAAAGCTAGAATAAAATGGATATGCTTCTTGCAGGGAAGAAAAAAAAAAAAATCTAGGACCTCCAAATATATCTGTGAGTTGCTCTGTCCCCCAGTTTGCATAAGTGCCACCGCTGCCCTGGCGAGCAGTTCAGCATGCACGTGGCTTTGAAATGACAGGGACTTGCATGTGTAGTTGAAGCCAGCCAGCTTGCTGAACGTACCCCTTTCCATGAAGGCATGTAGGAGAAATGATCAGGAGTTCGAAGGGCAAAAATGCCTTTTTTACTTCTGTAATTATTTTGAGTTTGTGCTGAGCTACCTAGGACCAAAACCGTGCCCAGTCATTTGAACAGCAGCCATCCTATCCATATTTGATACGGGGATAATTAGCAACCAGCCTTGCAAAGCACAGCCCTTCGTACCATCTGTACCATCAGTGTTAGAAAGCGCTTGACTTCCTAGGGATAGTCACACAGCTTCTGAGCCGCTCTTGATGTAGTAAGAGGGATGTAATGATCATGCAAAGTGTTAAACTTGCAGCCCTCTATTGACAGCGGTTTTGTTTAGCATCCTTAGATGTGATGCTAACATCTGTCCAGCAGGAGGGAGGCCACCTGCTCAGCTCCGGTGAGTTCTGATAATCATCAATTGCTAAAGACCCACGTATGCAGCACACTAAGCAGTGCYGGGGATAAAAATGAAAGCAATTATGGCTTCTTACCAGACTGCCAAATTATATATACATTTTTTTTGTTGTTATCAACTACAACTTTATATAATCCTTTAAAAGAAGACTAGAGTATCAGGTCTTTGTCCTGTCAAGCCCGCAATTTAAATCTCCCCAAGATGCCAGCCTGCGATGGTGGTGCTAGTTTTGCTGCCTGATGAGGACTAGAGAGTGCACAAGCTGTGAATGATCAGATTTGCAAATGGTTTGTAAACACCAGAGAACGAGGGCATTCACCAGCATGAATGCCAGCAATAGTAACTGGTGCCTCTAACATGAGTTTATAATAAGTACCTATAAAAATAA